CCCCTCCCCTACTGCTGCCAAAAAACAACCAACTATCCTTGACCCTTACCTTTCAGTCAACCATGTCTCTAGAGCAGACCAGGCCAAATTCAAGGACTAGGGCAGGACATACACTTACAGGGTAGAGGAGCTGGGCTTGAATGAGTTCTTGAAAGACAGACCTTCATTTATTCACTCTAAAGAATGCATCGAGCACTTAATATGTGCCTTGGCACCATTCCAGGCACTGGGGATGCAGTAGTAAACAAATGAGACATGTCTCCTCATGGAGATGATATTCCAGTTGGGAATGACTGATTGTGGAGATAGAACTTTCCAAAGATGGCTGCAACAATACCCCCCCTCACCCCACCATGCTACATGCTCTTCAGGAACTGTACCTCTCCTCCCATCAATACGTGGTGTCTAACTCTCTTTCTCTTGAATCTGGACAGGCTTGTGACTCACTTATATCCAAAAGAATGCAGCAGAGTTGACTATGTGTGACTTCTGAGGCAAGGTCATCAAAGATAATGCAGGATCTGCCCTGTTAGTTGGGATGCTTGCCTTTAGAGCTCTGAGCACCAATGAGACTGCCATGCTGTGAGGAAGCCCAGACCAGATGAGGAGGCCATACATACGCAGTCAAGCTGACGTGCCAGCTGAAGTCCCAACCAACAGCCAGCCTTAACCTCCAGATGCGTGTGAGCTAGTCTTCAGATGTTTCCAGACCCCAGCTGTTGAATCATCCCCAGCCTTACCCTCAGTCTTCCCAGTTGTGACCTGGCACACAGAGAAGCCATCCCCACTGTGTCTCACCAAATTCCTAACCCACAGAATTCATGAGCATGATAAAAATTATTGTTTAAACCACTACATTTGAGGTGGTTTGCTATGCAGGAATAGCATCTACGACACTGAAAATAAATAAGCAAATACATGAACAAGATAAAAAAATTTCATATTGTGATAGGCCCTAGGAAAAAAAATAAAACAGCATGAGGTTTGGGCAAAATCCACTTTTGATGGGAGGATGGATTAGGAAAGATGACACTTGAACTGAGCTCACCTACACAAAAATCTCAGAGCAGAGGGAGCAGAGACTTCTAGGCTGAAGATACAGCAAGTGCAAAGCCCTAAGGCTGATTCCTATCAGTGTGTTCTGTGAAGAGGAAGGTCAGTGAGACTAGAAGGATATGGGTAAGGGGCAGAATGGGGCAACGAATTTGGAAACTAAGGCAGAGGAGCAAGGCACCCTGGTCTTATAGTGCACTGACAGTAGTTTAGACTTCAGACTGACAGAGCTGAGAAGCCATTGGAGGGTATTATGCAGGAGTGACTTGGTCTGATAACCTCTTGGTAAGAGCTCTTACTGCCTGGTGGAGGAGAGAATGTAAAGCACATAGGGTGAAGGCAGGAGGATCACTTGGAATGCTATGGCTGGATCCAGGGAAGAGCGGATGGGTGGTGGCCTGAGGAGCAGTGGTAGCGGAGAAAATGAGGTCTGACGAACAAATTCGGGACCCAGGGGCAATGACGGAAAGAACGACAAGGGAGGAGGCGCCCCGCCCCGCAGGTCTGCAGCAGGCGGGGCCGAGACGCGGGTGAGGACCGGAACCCGGCATCAGTCTGGAATCTGGGAGGAAGACTCCAATGAAAGGCCGGCCAGGACGGCGCTTCCCGGCTCCCGGAGTCTGCGGCGCGGAACCGGACCCTGGCAGCGCGCCCGCCTGGCGTTTCCCGGCAACGGCCGCCGACGCCCGAGCGGCCCCGGTGACGTCATCGTCACCTTGGCGACGGCCGGTAGAAACTCAGCCCTGCGGGGTCCGGGGACGGGGCCCGGGGGCGGGGTGTGGGCGCAGCGAGCTCCGCCTCCGGCCGGGACCGACTTCTAGCCCTACCCCCTCCCCGGGAGGAAAGAGAGGAGGAGCCTGCATGTCTGCGGCACGCGTGGAGGGAACCCGGCAAAACCTCTACTAGAGGTCGCTGCGTTCCTTCGGAAACTCCGCCACCGGTGCGCCCTTTCCGCCACCCCACTCTTACGCTAGGCGGCCATCTCCAGCCAGCCAGACTGGCTCCTCCGTCATGCATGTAGCCTCCGCAGAGTTATCTGGTTCGACCACCCAAGCTAAAGCAATATCCGTCTCCCCCTCATTGACTGACATTGTTTTTTATTTCACAGGATTACTCCCCTCTGAAGTTATTTTAACTGATTACATATTGTATATCTTCCCCTTTGAAACCGAAATTCCATGAGGACAGGGATAAATTCTGCCTTCTTCCTCTCTATTCTCAGTGCTGTGAACAGAACCTGGCATAAAGTAGGTGCTCAGTACATTTAAGTTGGGTAAATCAGTGAATTCACTCAATGCTTTCCTTCATTTACATGCCCATTTGTTTAACATTTATGGAGTGCCTTCTAGGCACTTATGATAGCACCAGAGATACTGGGGTGAAGACAGGAGATGGGGTCAGATCTCTGTTGCCCCAGGAGAAAGCACCCCTTACATCCAATGAGAGGGATGAGGAGAGCTGAGCCCTGGGCTGAAGGTAGACTGGAATACCTGCTTGTTCCATTGAAGCAAAGTGTGGGCAAGTTCCCACATAAACTTGTGAGAGGGAGGGCAGGATATGGCCCTTTCCTTTAGTAGGATACCTAGGATATCCAGAACCTAAGCTTCTTCCCACTTTTGGGCTTTTGCATGTGCTGTTCCCTCTGCCTAGCAGGCTCCCCCCACCCTCCCCGATTTTCATTTCTCCATGTTCAGGCCAGGTACATCAACATCGTTCCTGAACTGATTTCTCATTTGTACTTTCAGGCTGTCTCCTCATCTTAGAAAAGCACTTCCCTGAGAGCTGGGTCCCATTGGACCTTACCCCTGTGTCCCTATTGCTTAGAACCACAGAGCATATACTCAATACTTTAAAAAAAAAAAAAAAAAAAAGGTGAAAAGGGCCCTTCCCCAAATCACTCTGGCTTTCCAGGCTGGGAGTTATCCACAGCCCTTTCCCAGCTGCCCCTGCTCGACATACAACATCTGGCCTGAGCAGGGAGTAGTGGTCCAGCCATGTCAGCTACCAGGATTCTCCTGGCCTGAGGCCTTCTCTCTTCCCAGGCTTGCCTGGGCCTCTCTCCTACTCTGGGGCAGGATTCCAGCTGGATTCCACCGTGGGATGAGGTTCCAGAACCACCTGGCTTCCCTCCGGGTGAGGAGGCCAGAGGTCGAGGGGGCAGAAGTGTGTGTGTATGTGTGTGTGTATGTGTGTGTGTGTGTGTATGTTGAGGGGGAAGGCAAGAAGAACAAGAACAAGGGAGTGAGCAAGGCTTTTCTTATTCCCAGCCATGATAGTGCGTGAAGGGGTGGCTTTTCAGAGCCTTCCAACACTGCTGTTGTCAGGAACATGGGGCACCTGGCAACCAAAGCTATTTTCCCCATAGTGAGGACACATACTCTGGAGAGGATATACAAACTGATATGCACAGAGCAGAGAATAAAACTTGAATTTATTCAGATTGTCTCCTTCCTATTTGGGGTGCAGAGTGTAGGGCAGAGAAAGGCAGTGCTTTGGCTTCTAGGAACATTGCTGATTGCTGACCCTCTCTTTGTGACCTTTGGGCCACCAGGATGGGGCGAACGATGGAGGTGGTGATGATGGAGCTGGTGACCAGGACCTACTGGGCCCTCAAACCAATCCCAAACACAGTCCAATCCCATGTTCAGTTGGCTCTGGCTCTCTACAGAGATTAAGGAGCAGATGGCTGAGAACATTCAGACTCATAGTAAAAGAAACAAAGGCTGCGGGTAGAGGAGCACTCGGAGGGGGTCTCCAGCTTAGGCAGCAGTGTGCACACATGCTTGTGTCTGTGTGTGGGCCAGGCCCGTGTGCAGAGCACGTGTCTGTGCATATCACATCCTCCAGCTGGGAACCCTCATCCTACTCCTGTGCCTGTGCTGCTGCTTTGTGGGCTCTTCCCGACCTTTCTTCCCTCCTTGCAAGATCTGAGTCTATTGATAGAATAGATGAGGGATAAACTTCCCATAACAATTTTCAGAAGATGCCCATTCTTCTTGGCCCTTGCCCCATGAGTGCTGGAGGTAGGTAGGTACCCACCTCAGTTCTGGGGCCCCGGAAGAAGGCTCTCCAGTGGTGGGTGGGAGGCTATGGTGGGAGGCAGGGAGTTCACTGCGGGGCTGGCTGAGAGTGGCTGCAGGACACACATACCATCCCAGGGTCTGCCAGGCCACTGCTGAGCCTTACTGGGCTGTGCAGGAACTGATGCAGCAAGGGAGAGGTGTGGAGCCCGAAGCAGGGGCCCGGGCCCCTGGACGGCTCTTCTTGCTTGGTGACGGTGGTGGAGGACGTTAGGATTGTGTTCCCAAACTGGTCCACCTCCTCATACTGCTCAGTCACAGTTCTTGTGGCTCCGTAAGGCTGGGAGCCTCCCGGCCCAGTCTGCAGCTCCAGAACACTTTTCTGCCTCCCAGTGGGCAGGGGGCTGGCTAAGGCAGGGACAGGCTCCAGCTGTTCTGAGCACCAGGTAACCTCCTTCCTGCCAGCCTCATCCTGGGCACCTTCTTGGTGGAGTAGGGCTTGGCTCACATTCTGGCCCAGGTAAGTGCATTTCACTGTATCACTGGAGCTGCCCTCAGGGCTGGGAACCTCCTGAGGCTTCCTTGTGGCTGACTGGATGGAGATGAAGGTTGGGGAGGAGGAAGAATCTCTGTAGGAAGGCAAGACCCGAGGGAGGCCTGTGTCTTCTCTCAGAATCTCCAGCCTCCTGGTTGGAGGGGCGGTGGAGGCTGCTTGACCTCTGACCTCTGTGTGATCTCTTATGGTGGCTTGATCCTGGACCTCAGGATAGCATCCAGCCTCGGTTTGGCTCTTGACCCCAGTTTGACCCTTGGCCTCCTGAACTGACCAGTTTGGCCTAGCTCTACTGCTAGGCACAACACTGACCTTGTGGGTACTGTGGTCCTTAGGGGTTCCCTGGGAATGGCCTCTGACATTAGCCTCAGGCTGAAGGCTAGACATAGAGCTGAGGGCCTTGTGCACAGCCTCCTCAATGTCCAGCAGCCTGGCAAGAGTCTGTTCCTTTAGCCTGGCAACCTCCGTGCTGACCCGTGTCAGCTCCCCGAAGGCTTGCTCCACCGAGGCCTCAGGCTTGCAGGGGGCAGCAGGCACCTGAGGGGCAGCCTCTCTCAGCTGGGGCACAGCCTCAAAGAGCCTCCGCAGTGCCCGCACATCCACACTGCTTATGGCCTCCTTCTCCAGGGCTTGCACGTGGCTCAGGAGGCCTTGGAGCTCTTGTTGGCTTCCTTGCAGAGTGTCAGGGCTCTTGGAGGCCACCTGCTGTGAACCTTCCTTGGGCTGCTCTTTTGGGAGGATGGGGCCCTGCTGCGGTGAGCTGGGGTTACCTCTGGGAGCTTTGAGTTTGGGGGGCTCAGGGCTCTGGGCATTGCTGCCTGAAGCCTGATTCTCAATGACTCTGGGGCCCATGGTGCTGAGGCCATGTTGGGGGCCAGGCTGACCTGCAGCAGTGGGGACCCTGGCCATCTGAAGGATGGCTGCATCTCTCTCACCTTGTTTATGTTCTTCTGGCTTCACCTCTGAGGAGGATCTGGGAGACAGAACTGCGGGCTTGGGCAGCCTTCGAGGAGGGTGGATCAGGGATAGGTGGGCAGGTTTTGGGGGTAACTGGGGCTTCTTCCTTGGGGGTGTGGTGGGCTCCAGTTTCAGAGTCTTTGTCTGTGACCCCTCAGGGCTTCTCTGGCCAGCAGGGCTGCTATGGGGGTGAACAAGGGGGTCCTGCAGGGGTTCGGAGTCTTGCTGGATGGAGTCCTCTTGGTGGTGGGTTCGGACTGGGAAGTCAGATCCTGTCACAGCAGCTGGGAGAGGAGGAGGAGGAGGAATAGAGGCATTATGGGAGTGCAGGCTGGCACCTGGAACATGAGGCCTAGAGGCCAGAGTGTGGTGAGCTAAAGGGGTAGCTTTCAGGGTGGTCTCTGCAGCTTGGAGGCTCCCCAGGCTGACTTCTGCCATCGCCTTCCCTGGTGGCCCCCAGGTGCTCTGCGTGCAGTCCCCAGGCTCTTCCCGCCCTGGCCCGAGACTCTGGCCTAGACCTCCCTGGAGGGGGCTTAGAGTCTGAGCTGGGAGAGTAGTCTTGTCCCTTGGCTGGGGTTCCCTCTCAGAAAGCTGGACACCCCTGGGTGGGTCAAATGTCCTCACTGGTTGAGCAGTGTAGATGCCTTCCTGAACAGTCACCCTCCCCCCAGGCAGCCCTCCAGGCAGTGCTTTCTGTTCCCCACTGACCTTTCTGGGGGCTGCTGGGATCCTGGGGTCAGCTCCAGCCATAGGCCTGGCATTGCTGTGAGCAGCCCCAGGAGTCACAGCTGGTGCTTGCAGAAGACCGTTCTGGAAGGGTGTGGAGGTGGTTGCAGGGCCTGGGCCCTGCTTGTGCTTGTTCAGAACTTGCTGGTGCAGGCTTTGGGCCTCGGCTGTTGCCACCCTCAGACTCTGCATGGCGGCCTGGAGGTCTGGGGCCCTGGGGCCCTGGGGCGCAGCCGTGGCTCCTTCTGACTTTCTCAAGGTTGCCATTCCTTTTTGCCCAATGCAACTGTCTTCCTGCTTTTCTGCTCCCTGCAAGCAGGCTGGGGCTGCAACGTTCCCAGCCAGAGGGACTGCCTTTCCAGTGGGTGGTGGGGGGCAGGTGTTTGGCCCTGGGCCTTGCAAATATCCCATCCTCAGGCTGGAGTCCAGGGGAGGCACATGGATGATGCTGTCAGTCAGGGGCGGCCTCTGGGACCCCTCACTGCCTGGCACTGGACTTGGGTCGGCTGGTGGCTCCCACCGCAGACTGTGCAGGCCACTCAGGTCCCCTTTGTCTATGCAGCTGGCCAGCAGCTGCACACTGCTCTTCTCGGGAGCCCTGCTGGCTGGCCGGGGCTGCAGGGAGTAGGCGGTCAGTGCCACCAGGCCCTGCTCTGTCTCCTGCATCACTAGCCCAGTCCTCACCACTGAGGCCCTAAGGCCACGTGCCAGCACCTGCTGGAGCTTGGGGTCCAGGTCATCAATACCCCTTCTGCTTCCTGGAGCTGGCAGCTTCAGTGGTGTGAGCTGGAGCTGGCCCATTGTGTCCTCCTGTACCAGCAGCCCCTGCTGGTCCACGTCTGGCCTGCGCAGCACTTGGCAGACGATTCTGGGAAGCTCGCCAGACACCAGCTCCTCCTTCCGGATGTGGGGGCACCCCTGCTCTGGGCCTGGGAGCACGTACTTGGCAAGGCAAAGTTCTTCTGGCCCACGGGCCTCCATGAGGATGCCCCCATGGTGCAGGATGCCAGGCGTGGCATGCAGAATCCTTAGGGTTCCTTCCGCGGCAGTTTCCTGCCTCTCCAGTACTGCATTGCCTGAGGGGCCCATGGGCTGCTCTTCCTGGAGGTTGTCGCCTAGGATGCTCTCCGCTGCTAGGGAGCCTATGGGGCAATTCTCAAAGAGCCATGTGAACTTGTGCACAGCACCCCCGGGGATGGACTCAGGGACTACCCTGGACACTTGGTCTTCCTTCTTGCCTGCCTCCAGGGCCTGGAAAACCTCCTTCTGACGAGACACCTGCCCTGAAGGGATCTCTACTCGGCTGCAATACCGCACAGCACGTCTCTTCCAGGGCCGGCCTGAGGCCTGCAGAGGCTCAGTCTCAAAGACGTGTCCAGCTGTCTGTCTTTCCCCAGCCTGGACCTGGCCAACCTGCAGGTGCTGTTCCCTGGAGCCCTCTGGCCTGTCCAGGGGTTGAGGCTCGAACATCCACGTGCAGGACTGGACCTCAGGCTTTGTTGCAGGGTCTTTGACCTCTGACCCCTGCTTCTCTGCCAGCTCACTCATTGGGCACGTCTCGAACAACCACCGGATGGTCTGCACATCGCCCTTTTGGGGGGCCTCAGGCTGGGGACCCCCCTGACCTTTGCCCTCTTCTTCTTGTCGTTCCTGCCGCTCTCGCTGGTGGATCACCTCCAGGGGCTGGGTCTCAAAGAGCCACCGAGTGGTGCCCACATCTCCGGCCACCACTTCCTGTCTGGTGATGCCTCGCACTACATCAACGGTACTGGGATGTCGGCCCAGTTGGTCTAGGGGCTGTGTCTCAAACATCCACCTGTAACCCTGCACATCACCACCAACTACTTGTTCTCTGCTGACAGAGGTCAAGGCGTGGAGGTGGCCCTTGCCATCCTGCATGGCATAGACTGGGGACCCTGTGCCCTGGGGCTGCCCAGAAGAATCAGTCTCTTCTGCTGTGCTCTTGTTCCCAGGGCCTGGAGACTCACCCTGCCCAATGCTGTCCAAGGGAAGGGTCTCAAAAAGTTTCTTGAAAGTCTTCACATCTCCCTTCACCCCATCCCTCTCAGGGGCACTTTGAGAAGGGGGCAGTACTGAGGAACCAGCACTGGACACAAGCCCCTCACCCTCCAGGGGACTCACCCGTTGCAGGTGACCCACTTGGACCTGGAGGTCTCTGGAGGTGTCCAGGGGCTTCATCTCAAATAACCACAGGGTGGAACGGACATCGCCAGGGACCACTTCCTCTTTGGGTGGGGCCTCAGCTCCAGCCTCATCTTCCCCCTTCAGAGTGTCCAAAGCTCGAGTCTCAAACAGATGCCGCTGCTGCCGAACATCTGGGCCTGGAGGGATAAGGTCTGGGGATGGCTGGAAGTCCTTCTCGTCCACTATGATTTCCCGGATGGCATCCAAGGGCTGCGTCTCAAAGATCCAGCGAGTTGCACTGACATCAGGGCGAGCCTCCTCCAGGGAGATGCCCCGGATCACCCGCACCTGGCTGGTGTCCCGGTTGATGGCATCCAGAGGTTGGGTCTCAAAGAGCCAGCGGGCAGACCTTACCGCGTTACTGTGGATCTCCTCACGGCAAGCTGCCTTGACCTCGTGAATGGCGCCCTCTGCATCCTGGATGGCGCACAGCGGCTCTGTCTGGAACAGCTTCACCGTCTTCTTCACATCGCCCTTCAGCTCCTGGATCTCGGAGCGCAGCTCCAAGGGGCTCTGCTCTTGGATGGAAGGGCGGGAGCCCAGGCGGTCTAGCGGCCGTGTCTCAAAGAGCATCTTGGTGCCCTGGACATCTCCACTGGCTGCAGGCTCCTTCACTGTGGCCTCAGGTGGCTCATCCTGGCCCCTCAGCTGATCCAGCGACTTTGTCTCAAACAGCCAGCGGGCTGCACGAACGTCCCCTCCCGTGGCCCGGGGACCAGTTGGCTCCTGGTCCACACTGTTGGCAAAGGCACCTTCCTCAAACTTGCGAGAAGTGGCTTGGACATCACCACCTGGCACTGGCTCCTTAGCAGCTGGTCTCTCATGGTCCCCAATGGCGTCTAGCCTCCAGTTTTCAAAGATCCAGCGCATACACTGAACATCACCCTCCGTGGGTTCCTCAGAGCCCAGGACCTCAGCCAGGTCCTCCGCCACGGCTTGGGCCAGGTTCTTGCGGAGCTCAGGGTGAATGTGCTTGTAGAGGCGGCGCAGCTCATTGGCTTGCCGCTGCTGATGAAACTTGGAGAAGGACTCCTTGGGCGGTGGTGGTGGCAGATCTCCCAGGGCTGGTGGTGGCGGCAGGGGCAGGTCCTCTGTGGTCGCCTTTGGAATGGTTGGTGTAGGGGCCACCTGTATCTGGGCATCAGCCATCATTCTGAGGAAAAAGGGCAGAAGTGAGGATGGGACTGAGGATTGCAGGTGGGGTGGGGAATGGTTGCTGGGCTAGAGAGCAGGGGGCAGGGCCCAGAGGGCAGAGTAGCTCCTCAATAATACCTGCTCAGAGATTCCCTCTCCTGTGGACAGGATACTGTCAGGCCTGGGCTTACTCTGCCATCTGCCTGGTCAGGTTCGTGACAAGCCTTGGACTTAGGAAATATGACATCAACTAGCAAGGTGGGTCCCTGCTTCCCCAGTGTCACCTGGACTGCCAGGGAGCAGGCATGGCACGACTGACCATGAGGCTGCTCCCTTTACCCCACTAGAGTTTCTTAAACCAGTGGGCAATCTTGGCATGTCCCAGGCCTGCTCCTTTTCCAAAGGAAGTGTTTTTCCCCTGGAAGACTCCTAGGGGAGTGGCCTGGGTGAATCTGAACTTATTGGGTCCCATCTAGAGGTGAAATCCATTGTCTGGGAGTCAACTCCAACTCATGGCGACCCCATGTGTCTCAGAGTAGAACCCAGCTCCATTTTTCAGTGACTGATTTTTTCAGAAATAGATAATCAGGTACCTCTGGGTGGACTAGAACTGCCAACCTTTCAGTAAGCAGCCCATTGCATTAACTGTTTGCACCCAACAGGGGGATGTGGGATTACTACCCAAAACTGGTGACTGATTTTCCATTGACAGGAAATCCCTTTCCAGCACACCAGAGGGCGCCCTTGCCACTTCTGCTGGGAGCTAGCTGGCAACTTCACCTCCTGGCTCCCAACTCACTTTCTGGCCTTTCCCAGGCTCCTGGAGGCATGGTAGGGGTCCCAGACCATGCTATGAGGAAGCAATCAAGGGTCAGGGAGGGACAACTGTTCACCAGATATTTCACGCTTAGGCAGAGTCAGATTCTGAATTCCAGGTCAGAGTCCACTGCGCTGTACTACAACTCAGAAGGTCTGATCCAGGGGGATCTCAAGGGATTTCTAACCCAATGTCTTGTACCTAATTAAAGCTAAGGAAAGTGAGGCCCAGAAAGAGTTGGATCTTGGTGGATGAGTGACTGGCAGTGCTGGCTTGGGTTTTTCAGACCTTGTTTGGGACCTGACCCCAAGAAATAAGAGGATGGGGAATAAAATTTTCTTCCTGGCTATGTTGGTATGTGCTGTGGAGTCGGACCCGACTCATAGCAACCCCTCCTTGGGTTTCTGAGGCAATATCACTATGGAATTAAATTACCCAACCTTCTTTCCGAGGAGTGGCTGGTGGGTTTGAACAGCCAGCCTTCTGGTTAGCAGTCAAGTGCCTTAGGCACTGCACTACCAGAGCTCCCTTCCTGGCTATACTGCCCCTCTATTATCCAGCATGCACCCCTAGGAGAAAGTGAGGGTGACACCTGGAGGGGGGACCATAGGGCCAGGGTCCTTTCTGCAGAGACAGTCCTGTCCCTTGCTCATTCAGACTCTTCCCTACTTACGTGCAAGCAAGCCCAGCTTCAGAGCCTTCTAGGTGCAGGGACTTAGACTAAGACATTCATGTGCCCTGCTCCCCACCTTCCAGCCCCACATCAATTTCTTGCCCCTCTTCTTCCTCCCTCTTCACATCAGTCAGCTTCCCACTGAAGCTGCCTTGCCCCAGCTCTGCTGCTGACCCTTCAGTGGCCTCCCACTCCTCAAACTGTTCTCTGGTCTCTGTCCCGTGTGTATCTTATCTGCCTTGTGACAGGTGTACTAATGGCCACCAGGGGCCAGTTGGGAAAGAATGAGAAGCACGTACCCCCTTCTGCTGTTCCTGACCCTCTGCTCTGCCCTGCACTGGTGCTAAATATAGCTGAGGCCCTGGCATCGTCACAGCAGCCCTGGGCCCGAGAGGAAGGCTTGGGCTCAGCCAGTCAGGGCCCAAGAAACCTTGGCACCCCTCATCTTCAACACCCCAGAAAGCCCTGGCCCACCCCTCATCCCGCTTCCTGTGCTGATGTCAGACCCCCAGCTTGCAGCAAGACCAGATACTGGACTCTGAAAACCTCTCCTGGCCAAAGGGGCTTTGGATAGTAGCAGGGACAGTGGCAGCAGGTGGGAGCCAGACTATCTCCTCACCACCACCTCAGGAGGAGGGAGGGCGCCTCGAGGCCTGCTGGCCCCACTCCACCCCAGCAGGTCCCCTTGTAGACATCAAAGGCCCCAGGAGTGGGAACTCCTAAACCTTCAGCAAACCCTCAGGGCAATTTCTATGCTCCTGTGAGCACCCTCTGCCAAAGGCAAACCTGTGCCTGCCGACTATCCTGTCAACACCACTGTGGCCTCAGCAGATGGCTTGTGCAGGCCACCAGCCCCACCCCCACCCCTAGGAATCTCTGTCAGGGTCACAGACTGCTAGAATCAAAGACTCCAGGAATGTCAGACCTAAGGGCCCTTAGAGGTCAATGAACCTAACCCCTTGTTCCAATGGGGGAAAGTGAGGCCCAAAGAGGGAAAGGAGTTGTCCAAGGACTCAGCAAGGTGATAGTGAAGCCTGGAGTAAGTTCCCTGACTTCTGCAACACCCCCCCCACCACACACACCTCATCCCTGCATGGCCCGAGGGTGAGGCTTACATTTCTAGAGGGCAGGGGAGGGTGAGGACATACTTCAGAATTGTGACCAGACTTAGAGTGGAGGCCTCAGCCCCATGAAATAATACAGATCTCGGCCTCCTTGGGCACGGTCAGCCTTCCAAGGTGTCTTCACCTTTGCCCCAGAGCTCTCCTCCTTGGCCCAGCCCTGTTCTTACATCTGCAGACTCTGATCTGGAGTTCCCAGCCTGAGCCCCAGATCTAGTCAAGGCCTTTCTCACTGGAGAAGAACCTGGACAGACTCTATACCCTACCTCATCTCCACCTCAGGTCCTAGGCCAGGAGATGTGGAGGGCTGGGCTCAGGCCAGCCTTGGGCAAACATTCCAGGGCCAAATATGGCAAGACTTTTGCCCACAACAGCTGGGCAGGGGACTTGTCCTGGCAAAGCAGACTCAGGCCTAGGTACCACTCCCCATCACCCCACGGCCTCCTTCTTCTCTTCCATCCCTCCTTCCTGCTGAGGGATACACTGAGTGGAAGCCCTAAAGCCTGAAGAGCTCTATATCTGTATTTTAAAAATTGTAATCCAGGCCACTTTCCTTGGAGGCTGGTCTGGATATTGCCTAGGCAGACTGGTAATAGCCTGTCCCTTTTCCTGGCCTCAGGCTCCCACGGGGCTCGTGATAACTCTTTCTTGACTGCTTTGTGGATTCCTTATATCAGAGACCTCTCCACTCACAAACACCCAGATACATGGCCCCTCAACCTCTTCCTCCACCCGGAGCCACCCCTACACACACTTCTCTGAGGACCATTACCCAGCATCCAGCAGGGATCCCAGAGCTGCCACAGATGGACCATGGGGCCAGTTACTCACATGCTCTGGGATCTGTGGCAGGTGTGGTCTGTAAGGGTCTGTGGTTCTTCTTGGGGTTCCTGCTCTTCTGCCTGCTCAGATGCCTTCTTGCTGCCCTGGCTCCTCTGGCTCTCTGTCCCCTGCCAGCCCCAGCAGCTGCCTTTATCTTGCTGGCTGGGGGATGGGCCGAGTGGGGGAGGGCAGGAGAGGCTAAGTTCAGAGTATGAAGTGGCTCAGTTATTTTTAGGGCTTGTGGAAATCGTTCTTCCATCTGGGGAATCAGTTACAAGTCTTTTGGACAGGGGAGGAGGAGGGGGCCAAGAAGCGTTTCATTCATCCCAAGTCTGATCTGAGGATTGGGCTAGTGAGTCAGTGGTATGCATGTGCGGGGTGAAGCTGCCCGACTAATTTGAGCATGAATAAGGTCGGGGCATCTGACACCTGAGTGGCCTCTGACTGTTTCTGGCCTGTGTTGATAGGAGACTGGATGTCCCCTGAGGGCAGGGCCAAGCCCTTCCTCCTGTTCTGGTCTAGGTGTTTGTCAGAGGAAGGCCCAGCTCTCCTCCCTTATTCCTTTCTGGCTAAAAATTTCCCCTTCTTTGCATAGGAAAGAAGGACACAGGGAAGAGGTAACTACAGGGAAGAAGTAGGAAGAGAGCTGTTACAGTGTGGGGAATTGCAGTCAATGTCATGAAACAAAATGTGTATGAACTGTGTGGAAAATGAATTTGCACTGTAAACTTTCACACAAATCACAATAAAAATTGAAAAAAAAAAAAAGATTTCCCTTTCTTTTACCACAATGAGTCCCTTGGTGGTGCAAATGGTTAATGTGTTTGGCTGCTAACTGAAAAGTTGATGGTTCAAGTTCACCCAGGGGCACCTTAGAAGAAAGACCTGGTGATTTACTTCAGATAAACCAGGCACTGAAAATCCTACAGAGCATAGCTCTACTTTGACATATGTGGTGTTGCCTTGAGTCAGAGTCAACCCCATCACACAGGTCTACACAGCCCTGAGTGAAGCTGTATGTTGGGGAGAGACATCTGAATTACCAGCTCCCAACTCTTCACCAGGCCCCTGGTTGATCCAAGAATTCCTCTGAACCGGTTGTCTAGTTTGCGCAGCAGATGATCTGGTCCTTGTTTACTCTTGGACTCTTCCCTTCTGACTGACTCAGGCTGCAGACTTTCTGGGAATGGAGAAGAGGGGAGGCATGGCATAAAGGAAGCTGACTACAGGGTTATTTCTGACCTTGGTGTCATCAGCTTTCCAGTCACAGACTGAGTGGGGAAGAGGGGTCACACCTGCCCCTCCTTTTGCTGCCCAGAGCCAGGGGGCCTAGCAGTCTCAAGAGGTGCCAGCCCTCAGGACAGGAAGGAACAATGTGGTAAGGGGCGTCTGGAGACCATATACAGAAGACATGAGGAAAGTGTTTTGTCCCAAGTGGGAAGCCCAGCCCAGGGGACATGCCTAAGAACACGCAGGTGCATTCTAGTACCTGACAGACAGGGGTCTTGCTTCTGACACTCCAGACACCCACTGTGCTAGTGGATACCAGTCATTGCTCACTTTTTCCGTTGAGTCATGTCCG